GATTCAGGGACAGGGACAGGGACCTTCCCAGGATCCTGCCCTTTGGGATTCAGGGACAGGGACCTTCCCAGGATCCTGCCCTTTGGGATTCAGGGACAGGGACAGGGACCTTCCCAGGATCCTGCCCTTTGGGATTCAGGGAATGGGACAGGGACCTTCCCAGGATCCTGCCCTTTGGGATGTAGGGAAAGGACCTTCCCAGGATCCTGCCCTTTGGGATGCAGGGGACAGGGACCTTCCCAGGATCCTGCCCTTTGGGAATGTAGGGACAGGGACCTTCCCAGGATCCTGCCCCTCGGGATTCAGGGGACAGGGACAGGGACCTTCCCAGGATCCTGCCCCTCGGGATTCAGGGGACAGGGACAGGGACCCACTGGCCGTGCTGGGTTGGGGGCTGGACTGGGTGACCCCACAGCTCTGTCCCCCCCTGGGTGAGGCCCCAATGCCCGGATTCCCTGGCTCCCAGCGCCCACCTTGTCGTGCTGGACGATGAGCCGGACCCCCCTGCCGCGCTCCTCGGGGCCGGGCAGCACCCACTGCACGGGCTGCACCCGCTCCTCCTCGGGGGGCTCGTAGGACTCCAGCAGCTGGTCCGTGGCCACGTAGAGCAGCTTGTCCCCCAGGCAGGGGTTCACCAACAGCACCCACTGCTCCCTGGGGAGAGGAATGAGGGGTCAGGAAATCCCCCCTGGGTGTCCCCCAGGCAGGGGTTCACCAGCAGCACTGACTGCTCCCTGGGGAGAGGGATGAGGGCTCAGGGAAACCCTTCCCAAAGCAGGGATTCACCAGGAGCAGGGAAGCCCTTCCCCAGGCAGGGGTTCACCAGCAGCACTGACTGCTCCTGGAGGGGATCAGGACCAGAGCAGCAACCGCACCTCAGGAATTCCCCTCGGGTGTCCCCCCAGGCAGGGGTTCACCAGCAGCACCCACTGCTCCCTAGGGAGAGGGAGGAGGGGTCAGGGAATCCCCCCTGGGTGTCCCCAAGGCAGGGGTTCACCAGCAGCACTGACTGCTCCCTGGGGAGAGGGACAGGGGTCAGGGAATCCCCCCTGGGTGTCCCCCAGGCAGGGGTTCACCAGGAGCACCCACTGCTCCCTGGGGAGGGGATGAGGGCTCAGGGGCAGGGATTCACCAGGAGCACCCACTGCTCCCTGAGGGGTCAGGAAAACCCTTCCCCAGGTAGGGATTTACCAGCAGCACCCACTGCTCCCTGGGGAGAGGGACAAGGGTCAGGGAAACCCTTCCCGAGGCAGGGATTCACCAACAGCACCCACTGCTCCCTGGGGAGAGGGATGAGGGCTCAGGGAATCCCCCTGGGTGTCCCCCAGCAGGGATTCACCAGGAGCACCCACTGCTCCCTGGGGAGAGGGACAAGGGGTCAGGGAATCCCCCCTGGGTGTCCCCAAGGCAGGGATTCACCAGGAGCATCCACTGCTCCCTGAGGAGAGGGAAGAGGAGTCAGGGAATCCCCCCTGGGTGTTCCCAAGGCAAGGATTCACCAGCAGCACCCACTGCTCCCTGAGGAGAGGGAGGAGGGTCAGGGAAACCCTTCCCCAGGCAGGGATTCACCAGGAGCACCCACTGCTCCCTGAGGGGTCAGGAAAACCCTTCCCCAGGTAGGGATTTACCAGCAGCACCCACTGCTCCCTGGGGAGAGGGACAAGGGTCAGGAAAACCCTTCCCCAGGCAGGGGTTCACCAGGAGCAGAAAAACCCTCCCCAAGGCAGGGGTTCACCAGGAGCACTGACTGCTCCCTGGGGAGAGGAATGAGGGGTCAGGGGCAGGGATTCACCAGCAGCACCCACTGTTCCCTGGGGAGAGGGAGGAGGGGTCAGGGAATTCCCCCTGGGTGTCCCCCAGGCAGGGATTCACCAGCAGCACCCACTGCTCCCTGGGGAGAGGGACGAGGGGTCAGGGGCAGGGATTCACCAGGAGCAGGGAAACCCTCCCCGAGGCAGGGATTCACCAGCAGCACCCACTGCTCCCTGGGGAGAAGGAATGAGGGGTCAGGGAAACCCCCCTGGGTGTTCCTCAGGTAGGGATTCACCAGGAGCAGGGAAACCCTTCCCAAGGCAGGGGTTCACCAGCAGCACCCACTGCTCCCTGAGGAGAAGGAAGAGGGGTCAGGGAATCCCCCCTGGGTGTCCCCAAGGCAGGGATTCACCAGCAGCACCCACTGCTCCCTGAGGAGAGGGAATGAGGGGTCAGGAACCCCCCCTGAGAGCCCCGTGCCACTGGAGGACGGGACACGACGGGGACAGGGCCGTGGGGAGGGACACGGGGGGCTCTGCCAGGCTCCAGGACCCTCCAGAGGGAGGGAACCAGGAGGATGAGGGGGCTCATCCCGGCCCAGAATTCCCCAAGGGAGGATAATTGGGAAGCAGGGAGGGGGGGAATTTATCCTTCCCAGGGAGGGGGGTGGTCCCTCCAGAGAGGAACAAGAGCCACCAACAGAGCGGGAAGAGGTGGCTTTGCTGGCTTTGCTGGCTTTGCTGGTTTTGTTCCCCCCCAGCACGGCCAGGATGGGGGGACCACGAGCTTTGGGGGGGCTCTGGGAGAGGGAGGTGGGAGCTGCCAGCAGGGAAGGGAGCAGGGAAAGGGCCCCCCTGGGACACTCACACGGCCACGGCCAGCAGGCAGAGGGTGGGGTTGGGGTTCCAGGCCACGCTCTTCACCACGGCCCCCACGGGCAGGGTCCTCACGCAGCGCGCCGTGCTCACCTCCCAGAACCTCACCGTGCCGTCATCCGAGCCTGGGGGAGGGATTGGGGTGGGATTGGGGTGGGAGAGGGGTGGGATTGGGGTGGGATGCCACAGCCCCACGCTGGAGGGGCAGCAGCACCCTGCCCAGGGCACTGCCACGCTCGGGGCACCCCAAATTCCCTGGCACCCCGAGGTTCCTCGGGCGGGCAACGATTCCCTGGCACCCACAATTCCCTGACTCCCGCCATTCCCGGGATTCCACAACCCCCTGGAAGCTTTTCCAGCCCTGCAGGGGTCGAGCTGTGCCCGGGGGGCTCTGCCCTGGGAACACCTCCTGAGTCCCCCCCTGGCCCTGCTCCCAGCCCCGCTCCTGGGAATGCAGCTCCTGGGAATGCAGCAGCTCCTGGGAATGCAGCTCCTGGGAATGCAGCTCCTGGGAATGCAGCTCCTGGGAATGCAGCAGCTCCCGGGAATGCAGCAGCTCCCGGGAATGCAGCCCCTGGGAATGCAGCAGCTCCTGGGAATGCAGCAGCTCCTGGGAATGCAGCTCCTGGGAATGCAGCTCCTGGGAATGCAGCAGCTCCCGGGAATGCAGCAGCTCCCGGGAATGCAGCCCCTGGGAATGCAGCAGCTCCCGGGAATGCAGCAGCTCCCAGGAATGCAGCAGCTGACCAGGGATCCAGTCCCGACCAGGGATCCAGTCCCGACCAGGGATCCAGTCCCGACCAGGGATCCATTCCTGACCAGGGATCCATTCCTGACCAGGGATCCATTCCTGACCAGGGATCCAGTCCTGACCAGGCACCCAGTGCTGACCAGGGATCCATTCCCAACCAGGGATCCATTCCTGACCAGGGATCCATTCCTGACCAGGGATCCAGCCCTGACCAGGGATCCATTCCTGACCAGGGATCCATTCCCAACCAGGGATCCAGCCCTGACCAGGGATCCATTCCTGACCAGGGATCCATTCCCAACCAGGGATCCAGCCCTGACCAGGGATCCATTCCTGACCAGGGATCCAGCCCTGACCAGGGATCCAGTGCTGACCAGGGATCCATTCCTGACCAGGGATCCATTCCCAACCAGGGATCCAGCCCTGACCAGGGATCCAGCCCTGACCAGGGATCCAGTCCCAACCAGGGATCCAGTCCTGACCAGGGATCCATTCATGACCAGGGATCCATTCATGACCAGAGATCAGTCCCAAGCAGGGATCCATTCCTGACCAGGGATCCATTCCTGACCAGGGATCAGTCCCAAGCAGGGATCCAGTGCTGACCAGGGATCCATTCCCAAGCAGGGATCCAGTGCTGACCAGGGATCCAGTCCCGACCAGGGATCCAGTCCCAACCAGGGATCCATTCCCAAGCAGGGATCCATTCCTGACCAGGGATCCATTCCTGACCAGGGATCCATTCCCAAGCAGGGATCCAGTCCTTACCTGACACCAACCACTGCCCGCTGGGGGAGATGCTGAGGCAGCGCACGAGGCTCGTGTGGCCACGGTAGATCTGGGGAGGGAGGGAGGGAGGGAGGGAAGGAGGGGGGTGAGGGTCCCACAGAGCCCAGAACAGGACCCCCTGCCCCCCTGCCCCTGTCCCCAGGTGCCACCTCCCCAGGGATGGTCAATAATCCCCCAGGGATGGGGATCCAGGGCTGGGCAGCCCCTTCCCAGGAGGGATTTTCCCAAGATCCCAAATAAAGCTCCCCTGGCACAGCCTGGGGCCGTTCCCTTTATCCTGTCCCTGTTCCCTGGGAGCAGAGCCCGATCCCACCTGGATCCACCCTCGTGTCCCCCTGGAACATCCCCTGAGCCCCCCTTTCCTCCAGGCTGAGCCCCCCCAGCCCCCTCAGGAGTTCTCCGTCCCCTCTCCAGCTCCATTCCCCTCCAGGACTGGTTTGGGCACAGCCCCCTCCAGGGGCACACCCCAGACCCCTCTGGCACCCCCTCACCAGGGCCTGGGTGGTGGGGAAGGGCTGCAGATCCCGCGGCTTGGGCAGTTTGGGGATCAGATCCTCGGGGTCCACGTTGACCTGCGAGAGGGAGGAGCTGATAGTGCCCGGTCTGGGATCCCCCTGGGATCCCCCCCCCAGGCTGGGACCCTCCCAGGCCCCCCCCAGGTGGGAGTGGCGGGGCTGGGGATGCCTCACCCTCATCTTCCTCTGCCGGGGGCACAGGTAGAGGTCGAGGCAGCGCTCGAAGCGCTCGTGGATGAAGCGGGGGTAGGCGGGCACGGCCCGCAGGCAGCGGTGCCGCCGCGGCACCAAGTTCAGCCGCCGCTCCCCGGGCTCCTGCTGCTCCCAGGCCATCCTCTGTGGGGAGGGGGGATGCTCAGGGCCCGGCAGGACCACCCTGACAGCCCCCCCGAGCCCAGGAGGAGCCGTCCTGGAGGTTCTCACCGTCCAGCACCGTGCGGCCCACGGGGGGTTCTCACCCTCCTCATCCCACCAGGATCCTTCCACTCCACTCATCCCACCAGGATCTTTCCACCCTCCTCAGCCCACCCCCCCTCACCCCACCAGGATCTTTCCACCCTCCTCAGCCCACCTGGATCTTTCCACCCTCCTCATCCCACCTGGATCTTTCCACTCCACTCATCCCACCAGGATGGTTCTTTCTCACCCCCTCATCCCACCAGGATCTTTCCACCCCCCTCATCCCACCAGGATCTTTCCACTCCACTCATCCCACCAGGATCTTTCCACCTTCCTCACCTCCCCAGGATCTTTCCACCCCCCTCAGCCCATCAGGATCTTTCCACCCCCCTCATCCCACCAGGATCTTTCCACCCTCCTCATCCCACCAGGATCTTTCCACTCCACTCATCCCACCAGGATCTTTCCACCCCCCTCATCCCACCAGGATCCTTCCACCCTCCTCATCCCACCTGGATCTTTCCACTCCACTCATCCCACCTGGATCCTTCCACCCTCCTCAGCCCACCAGGATGGCTCTTCCTCACCCTCCTCACCCCACCAGGATCTTTCCACCCCCCTCATCCCACCAGGATGGCTCCTTCTCACCCCCCTCATCCCACCAGGATCCTTCCACCCCCCTCATCCCACCAGGATCTTTCCACCCCCCTCATCCCACCAGGATCCTTCCACCCCCTCAGCCCCACTGGGGTTTCACTGCCTGTTTCATCCCAAGCCTCTGGATGCACCAGGACAAATCCCACGCCAGGACATCCCCACGCAGCCTGTTGGGGCTCTGGCAGGGGCCCCCCTGCTCCCTGGGATGTGGCCCCAAAGTTGCTTTAAATTTAATTCCAGGAGGCTGAGTGATGGAATCATGGAACGGGTTCGCTTGGAACGGATCTCAAGGACTGCCCAGTCCCACCCCGTGCCACGGGCAGGGACACCTCCCACTGTCCCAGGTGGCTCCAACCTGGCCTTGGACACTCCCAGGGATGGGGCAGCCACAGTTTCCCTGGGAAAACACCTTTGCTTTGACCTCCCCTGCCAGGTCCCCCCTCCCCAGGGCTCAGCCCTTCCCCTGCCCCGCGTCGTGTCCCAACCCCCCCGGAGCTCCCAGTGCTCCCAGTCCTTTCCCAGCGGCTCTGGGGGGGGCTGGGGGTCCCCTCACCTCCTCCTCGCTGAGCAGGTACTCGGGGGGGGGGTTGTAGGACTCCTCGTGCCCCGGCAGCCTCAGCTTGGGGGCCGGCACGTGCATCTTGTGGCGGCCCAGGATGGAGTTGGGGTCCTCGTGGGCCCACAGGTCGTAGTAGGTGGGGGTGTCATCCTTGGGCTTGCGGGGTTTGATCCAGCCCATCTTGATGGCGTGGACCAGCTTGGACACCTGGGGGGCACGGTGGGGTCAGCGGCTCCAGGAGATCCAGAAGCTCCAGCAGCCCCAGCAGTGCCAGTAGCCCCAGTAGCTCCAGCAGCTCCAGCAGCTCCAGAAGCTCCAGCAGCCCCAGTATCCCCAGCAGCTCCAGTAGCTCCAGCAGCTCCAGTAGCCCCAGTATCCCCAGCAGCCCCAGCAGCTCCAGAAGCTCCAGCAGCCCCAGTATCCCCAGCAGCTCCAGAAGCTCCAGCAGCTCCAGCAGCCCCAGTAGCCCCAGCAGCTCCAGCAGCCCCAGTAGCTCCAGAAGCTCCAGCAGCCTCAGCAGCCCCAGTAGCCCCAGCAGCCCCAGAACCTCCAGCAGCCCCAGAACCTCCAGAAGCCCCAGCAGCCCCAGTAGCCTCAGCAGCTCCAGCAGCCCCAGCAGCCCCAGTATCCCCAGCAGCCCCAGCAGCTCCAGCAGCCCCAGCAGCCCCAGCAGCCCCAGCAGCTCCAGCAGCTCCAGAAGCCCCAGCAGCCCCAGAAGCTCCAGCAGCCCCAGCAGCCCCAGTATCCCCAGCAGCCCCAGCAGCTCCAGCAGTCCCAGCAGCCCCAGTATCCCCAGAATCTCCAGCAGCCCCAGTATCCCCAGCAGCTCCAGTATCCCCAGTATCCCCAGCAGCTCCAGCAGCTCCAGTATCCCCAGTATCCCCAGTATCCCCAGAGCCCCAGAAGCTCCAGCAGCTCCAGCAGCCCCAGTATCCCCAGTATCCCCAGCAGCTCCAGTATCCCCAGCATCCCCAGAGCTCCAGCAGCTCCATGGGACGGGGAATGAGGAGCAGGGTGGGACGTGGGGGTGGGAACAGGAGGGCAGGACCTTCCCCCACCTTGTCCTTCTCGATGAGGGAGGGGATGAAGCTCCTCTTGTCGGCGGGGCGGTTGGTCACCGGGTGGATCATCACCTCGTGCGTGAAGAAGTCGACGGCCGGCTGGGGGGACATGGAATGGTGAGGGAGGGGAGAGGGGGGTAGCTGGGACCCCCCCCCCACCCCACCCCATCCCAGGGTGGGCAGCAGCCACGGCCTCACCTCGTAGGGGTCGAAGTTGACGTCCCCAAAGTGCCCCTTCTGCAGCCGCTGCACCAGCTCCACCTGCTCGTCCGTCAGCGTCACGTCCGCCCCCGTCATCTTGTCCTGCACCGTCCTCCTGGTGGCAGCGGCACAGGGACGGGATGGGGGGGTCTGGGATGGCCAGGACACCCCTCCACAGCCCCCACAGCCACCCCAGGGGATCTCAGGGGTCCCTCCAGGGAACTGGGGGGGTTCCATCCCCGCTGTGCTCACACATCCCACCCTGCACAGGCACAGCCCCTCGTGGAAGGGTTTGGGATGGAGGGATTGGGGATCCTCCAGCGGGCAGGGACACCTCCTGCCATCCCAGGGTGCTCCAAACCCCGTCCAGCCCGGCCTTGGACGCTGCCCCGAGGGTCTCACCAGTACTCTGGGTTCTCCATCTTCTCCAGGAACACGTCCAGCTCGTCCTTGCTCCGGATGGGCTTGTAGATCTTCTTGCCGTCCAGGTCGTAGCCGACGTGGGGGAAGTCCTGGTACCACTCCATGGGGATGTTTCCCACCGTGTTCCGGATGTCCTGCAGGGGAGCGGAGGGGAGAGGGGTGAGGGACACCCTGGAGGCCCTCCCGGGGCATGAAGGGGCTCCAGGAGGGATGGAGAGGGGTTTGGGACAAGGGATGGAGAGACAGGACACAGGGATTGGCTTCCCACTGCCAGGGGGCAGGGGGAGATGGGATACTGGGAGGGGATTTTTCCCTGGGAGGGTGAGGAGATCCTGGCACGGGCTGCTGTGGCTGCCCCGTCCCTGGAATGGCTCTGTAGCTCCAAACCCTCCCAGTGGGAGCAGAGCAAACAGCTGGATGAACGGGAATGGGGGTTGGAGCAGGGGGAGGGGGGCTGGGGGCAGGGGCTGCCCCTTGGGATGTGGAGAAAGGGACGCGGATCCTCTTGGGATCCTGACCCTTGGGATGGGGAGCAGGGGCTGAGGATTCCCTCAGGATCCTCTTGGGATCCTGCCCCTCGGGATGGGGAGCAGGGGCTGAGGATTCCCCCAGGATCCTCTTGGGATCCTGTCCCTCAGGATGGGGAGCAGGGGCTGAGGATTCCCTCAGGATCCTGCCCTTCAGGATGGGGAGCAGGGGGTGAGGATTCTCTCAGGATCCTCTTGGGATCCTGTCCCTCAGGATGTGGAGCAGGGGGTGAGGATTCCCTCAGGATCCTTTTGGGATCCTGCCCCTCGGGATGGGGAGCAGGGGCTGAGGATTCCCTCAGGATCCTTTTGGGATCCTGCCCCTCAGGATGGGGAGCAGGGGCTGAGGATTCCCTCAGGATCCTCTTGGGATCCTGCCCCTCGGGATGGGGAGCATGGGGTGAGGATTCCCTCAGGATCCTGTCCCTTGGGATGGGGAGCATGGGGGGAGGATTCCCTAAGGATCCTGCCCCTCAGGATGGGGAGCATCCCAGGTGAGGATTCCCTCAGGATCCTTTTGGGATCCTGCCCCTCGGGATGGGGAGCAGGGGCTGAGGATTCCCTCAGGATCCTCTTGGGATCCTGACCCTCAGGATGCAGAGCATGGGGTGAGGATTCCCCTCAGGATCCTCTTGGGATCCTGTCCCTCGGGATGGGGAGCAGGGGGTGAGGATTCCCCCAAGATCCTGCTCCTTGGGATGCAGTTTGGGATGAGGACCCTCCGGCCTCTCCTGGCTGTGCTGGCGCTGCAGGAGGCAAAGCCCCCCCATCCCAATCCCAACTCCCATCCCAATCCCACCCCGTCCCAGTTCCAGCCCCGTCCCAGTTGCAGCGGCAGGGCAGAGGTGTGAGGGTGACCTGTGCCCCCCTCACTCCGCAGTTGGGGGTCACCCCGCCCCGCTCCATCTGCTCCCCAAAAACACCCGGAGAACACCCGGAACCCCCGGGGAGGGGGACGGGGCCATCCATCATTCCAGGCACAGCCGGAGTGCGGCACGCTGGGATATCCAGGATGGGCACAGGGATGCAGAGGGATATCCAGGATGGGCACAGGGATGCAGAGGGATATCCAGGATGGGGACAGGGATGCAGAGGGATGCCCTGGTGATGACATGGGAAGTGGGGACGTCTCTCCCAGCAATGGGATCCATGTCCCACCTCAGCAGTGGGATCCACATCCTGCTCCAGCAGTGGGATCCACATCCCACAGCAGTGGGATCCACATCCTCACATCAGTAGGATCCACATCCCCACATCAGCAGGATCCACATCCCCACATCAGCAGGATCCACATCCCTAAAGCAGTGGGATCCACATCCCCACAGCAGTGGGATCCACATGCCCACAGCAGTGGGATCCATATTCCCACATCTGCAGGATCCACATCCTCACAGCAGTGGGATCCACATCCTCACATCAGCAGGATCCACATCCCCACATCAGCAGGATCCACATCCTCACATCAGTGGGATCCACATCCCCAAAGCAGTGGGATCCACATCCCCACATCAGTGGGATCCACATCCCCATATCAGTGGGATCCACATCCCCACATCAGTGGGATCCACATCCTGCTCCAGCAGTGGGATCCATATTCCCAATGCAGTGGGATCCACATCCCTCAGGGCATCAGTAGGATCCACATCACCACATCAGTGGGATCCACATCCTCACATCAGTAGGATCCACATCACCACATCAGCGGGATCCACATCCCCACATCAGCAGGATCCACATCCTCACATCAGTGGGATCCACATCCCCAAAGCAGTGGGATCCACATCCCCACAGCAGTGGGATCCATATTCCCACATCTGCAGGATCCACATCCTCACATCAGTGGGATCCACATCCCCACATCAGTGGGATCCACATCCCCACATCAGCAGGATCCACATCCTCACAGCAGTGGGATCCACATCCCCACATCAGTGGGATCCACATCCCCACATCAGTGGGATCCACATCCTCACATCAGTGGGATCCACATCCTCACATCAGTGGGATCCACATCCTCACAGCAGTGGGATCCACATCCCCACAGCAGTGGGATCCACATCCTCACAGCAGTGGGATCCACATCCCCAAAGCAGTGGGATCCACATCCCCACAGCAGTGGGATCCATATTCCCACATCAGCAGGATCCACATCCTCAGGGCATCAGTGGGATCCACATCCCCACATCTGCAGGATCCACATCCCTCAGGGCATCAGCAGGATCCACATCACCACATCAGTGGGATCCACATCCCCACATCAGTGGGATCCACATCCTCACATCAGCAGGATCCACATCCCCACAGCAGTGGGATCCACATCCTCACATCAGTGGGATCCACATCCCCAGGGCATCAGCAGGATCCACATCCCTCAGGGCATCAGCAGGATCCACATTCTCACATCAGTGGGATCCACATCCCCACATCAGTGGGATCCACATCCTCACATCAGTGGGATCCACATCCCCACATCAGTGGGATCCACATACTCACATCAGTGGGATCCACATCCCCACATCAGCAGGATCCACATCCCCACATCAGTGGGATCCACATCCTCACATCAGTGGGATCCACATCCCCACATCAGCAGGATCCACATCCCCACATCAGCAGGATCCACATCCCCACATCAGTGGGATCCACATCCTCACCTCAGCAGGATCCACATCCCCACATCAGCAGGATCCACATCCTCCCTCAGCAGTGGGATCCACATCCCCACATCAGCAGGATCCACATCCTCACATCAGCAGGATCCACATCCTCACATCAGCAGGATCCACATCCTCACATCAGTGGGATCCACATCCCCACATCAGCAGGATCCACATCCCCACATCAATGGGATCCATATTCCCAATGCAGTGGGATCCCCATCCCTCAGAACATCAGCAGGATCCACATCCTCACATCAGTGGGATCCACATCCCCAAAGCAGTGGGATCCACATCCCCACATCAGCAGGATCCACATCCCCATATCAGCAGGATCCACATCCCCACATCTGCAGGATCCACATCCCCATATCTGCAGGATCCACATCCCCACATCAGTGGGATCCACATCCCCATATCAGCAGGATCCACATCCCCAAAGCAGTGGGATCCACATCCCCACAGCAGTGGGATCCACATCCCCACAGCAGTGGGATCCACATCCCCACAGCAGTGGGATCCACATCCTCACATCAGCAGTGGGATCCACATCCCCACATCTGCAGGATCCACATCCTCACATCAGCAGTGGGATCCACATCCCCATATCAGCAGGATCCACATCCTCACATCAGTGGGATCCACATCCCCAAAGCAATGGGATCCACATTCTCACATCAGTGGGATCCACATCCCCACATCAGTGGGATCCACATCCCCACATCAATGGGATCCACATCCCCACATCAGCAGGATCCACATCCCCACATCAGTGGGATCCACGTTCTGCCCCACCAGTGGGATCCCAGCCCCCCCAATTCAGAGCAGGGATCGCTCCCTCCCGTCCCGCGTTTCCCGGGCAGCTCCAGCTCCAGAGGGCGGATCCAGCTGCAGCTCCCGATCCAGAGGGCGGATCCAGCTGCGGATCCAGCTCCAGAGGGCGGATCCAGCCGCAGCTCCAGCTCCAGAGGGCGGATCCAGCCGCAGCTCCAGCTCCAGAGGGCGGATCCAGCTGCAGCTCCCGATCCAGAGGGCAGATCCAGCCGCAGCTCCAGCTCCAGGGGGCGGATCCAGCCGCAGCTCCAGCTCCAGAGGGTGGATCCAGCTCCAGCTCAGAGGGCGGATCCAGCTGCAGCTCCAGCTCCAGAGGGCGGATCCAGCCGCAGCTCCAGCTCCAGAGGGTGGATCCAGCTGCAGCTCCCGATCCAGGGGGCGGATCCAGCTGCAGCTCCAGCTCAGAGGCGGATCCAGCTGCGGATCCAGCTGCAGCTCCCGATCCAGAGGGCGGATCCAGTTGCAGCTCCAGCTCCAGAGGGCAGATCCAGCTGCAGCTCTCGATCCAGAGGGCGGATCCAGCTGCAGCTCCAGCTCCAGAGGGCGGATCCAGCTGCGGATCCAGTTGCAGCTCCAGCTCCAGAGGGCGGATCCAGCTGCAGCTCCCGATCCAGAGGGCGGATCCAGCCGCAGCTCCAGCTCCAGAGGGCGGATCCAGCCGCAGCTCCAGCTCCAGAGGGCAGATCCAGCCGCAGCTCCAGCTCCAGAGGGCGGATCCAGCTCCAGCTCCAGAGGGCGGATCCAGCGGCTCCCGCAGCCCCTCCCCGCAGCCCCTCCCCGCCCCCGCGGTCGGTCGGTCGGTCACACCTCGCCCGGCTCTGCCGTCACTCAGCCGCACGTCTGGAAGTTGTTCTTGGATGGGCCCTGGGCATTCCTAGACGCACATTCCTGGCAGCCGGGGAGCCCCGTAGGAAAGATTCTTCCCTTGAAAATATCCGGTCCACGTGGAGGGGAAAAGGGGACGGGGCAAGCGCGGCGTTCCCGGGGTGCTTGGGATCCCGGGATCCCGGACACCTCCTGAGCCCCCCAGCTGACCACAGTCCTGATCCAGCAGCTCTGAGGGGAAATGGGGGGGGTCTCTGCACCCCCAGCAGTGCTTCCCGTAGGAGTGGGATCCCAGAGGGTCCGGCACAAAGCCCGGGAACTCAGCGGAGCCCGGAGTCAGGAACAGCATCCCGAGCACCCCACGCGCTGCAGGGAGGGGGGATCTGAAGATCCAAAGAGAGGCAGGATCCAAAGGGATCAGGAGAGCCTTGGAGCAGGGAATGGGAGCGAGCCCTCCCCACCCCACAGGTCCTAAAGCAGGGGGATGGATCGCAGTGAGGGATTCCAGGATTGGCCTCCCCGGGAGAAGGCTCCTACCCCGGGCTCTGCTGCCCTGCCGGGGTCGGGAAGTGATGCCCAAAGTGGGACATCCTGGAAGCTCTGTGGGAAGCAGGGAGAGCTGCAGAGCCAGGGGCTGGGACGCTGCCCCAGTCCCCAAATCCCCAGAATTCTGAGAATTCCCGAGCCCGTGCCGGGTCTGGAGCTCTGGCCTGACCCGTGGACCTGCTCTCGGTGCTGGGGGTGAGCTGGAGGAGCCCTGGAGGATGCAGGAGATGGATGGATGGATGTGGAAGGACAGCAGGGACAGCGCCCAGGGAACGGCAGCGGGGCTGGAAGGTGCCGGGGGAAAGCGGGGTCGTTAGCGGAGCTAAACGAAAGCAGATGCGCCGGGAGCCGGCGCTTCCAAAGCACACACCGAGAGCGCCCGGCCCGGCCCGGCCGGGGGATGATGATGACACTGGGTTGGATTTCGGAAGCTGCTGAGACGTGGATTAACTGCGGGAGCACACGGGGAAGGTGCAGAATTCCGGCTGGGAGTGACAAAACCCCCCCCTTCCTCACCGTGAGGAGCTCGTGGGAGGCACCGCTGGAAGGGGGGAAACCGGAGACTTCCCGGCAATTCCCACTCCCAGCCCGGGTAAAGAGCTGCTCATCAACACCAGCCACAGGCACGGGGAGAAGGGGACGCATTCCCCACGTTCCCCCGGGGTTGGGGTTGGGATAAGGAAGCCCCGAGCTGAGAGAACTCCCCAGGGCTGCAGAGCTTGGAGACCCCACAGGTTCCCTGTGTAGATGTGGGGTCTCGGCCCCACACCTGGGTGGCCCGGGGTGCTGTGGGGATTCCAGGGGCTCCGAGGAAGAGGAGGAGGCTGATGGTTGTCACCAGGGCCAAAGGAAGGGTGAGGAAGGTGCTCCCAGGGCTGGAGCCCCTCGGCTCTGGAGCCAGGCTGGGAGAGCTGGGAATGTTCCCCTGGAGAAGGGAAAGTCCAGGGAGACCTGAGAGCCCCTGGCAGGAGAGCTGGAGAGGGACTGGGGGACGAGGGCTGGAGGGACAGCACACAGGGAATGGCTGCCCAGGGTTAGGTGGGATATTGGGAAGGAATTCCTGGCTGGATGGAATTCCCAGGGCAGCTGTGGCTGCCCCTGGATCCCTGGGAGTGTCCCAGGGCAGGTTGGTCAGGGCTCAGAGCACCCTGGGCTAGTGGAAGGTGTCCCTGGCAAGCCTGGCATGGGCAGCAGGACACAGGGACAGGGGACAGGACACAGGGACAGGAATGGGCTCAGCACACAAGACCCAAATTCCATCCCTGATACCTGGGCAGGGAATTCAAGCAAATCCAGGCAAGCCCTGGAGCTCGGGCGGCCCCTCAAGGGTTAATTCCTCCCTCTCTGCCCCATTAGCAGCCGCAGGAGCAGCAGCAGGAGCAGCAGCAGGATGGATTCGGTCATGCTGGGAAGGGGAGGGGGCTCTGGGGGCTCTCTGGCTGGGATCCATCCTGAGCAGGAGCCCCTGGCCCAGGCACGAGGTGTCCAGGAATCCCACGGGAACAGGCTCAGGGGAGGGACACGGCCACCAGCCCCACCCCAGCACGGGGGGGTCCTCTGGGAGCCCCCAGGGACCCCCCAGGGGATCCCACTGTCATTCCCACTGGGACAACGCGCTGGTTTTGGGATGCAGGTGCCGGCCTGGGGCCGGGAGCACCACGGAAAAGGGGAATGCTGCAGGACCAACCTCCTCCCTCAGCTCCCCGAGGGGGGTCCAGGGACCCCCAGGAGCCCCCCCCCCAGCACCCAGGCCATGCCAGGACAGTGCCAAGCGTGCCGGGCTGAGCCCCAGCACCCCCTGCCAAGCCCAGACCGGGATCGGGACACGGATTTAGGGGGAAAAGCAGCTTTGGGGCGAGAGGAGACAAACGGAAAAGGGGAAGAGCGGAAAGCGGCGGGGGCAGACGGCGCAGTTTGGCAGGAGCTCGGCGGGACCCGCGGGCCTGGCCGAGCCCGGAAGAGTTAAATCCCCTCCGGAGGGTGAGCTCAGGTAGGCTGAGCCTGGGGCTCCCCTCGAGCCGGAGGAGGGGCCTGGCTGACCGGTGCCGCCTTATAAAAACCCTATAAAAACCCGGCTCCGCCGCTATAAAAGCCGGCCGTGCCAGGCTCGGCGCGGACCATGCCCGTGTGCGCGGGGAGCGGGGAGGGCGGCGCGGAGCCGGCGCTGCCCGCGGGGCCGTAAAACCCCCTCCCTGAGCCGGCGGGACCCCCGAGCGGCGCCGCAGGACCCCGAGCCGGCAGGACCCCGAGCCCGCAGGACCCCGAGCGCAGCGCAGCGCAGGACCCCGAGCCGGTGGGACCCCCGAGCGCAGCGCCAGGACCCCGAGCGGAGGGACCCCGAGCAGCGCCCACGACCCCAGCGCAGCGCCCAGGATCCCAGAGCCGGCAGGGACCCCGGAGCAGCGCCCACGACCCCCAGCGCGGTAGCCAGGACCCCCCGAGCGCAGCATCCAGGACCCCCGAGCGCAGCGCCAGGATCCCCGAGCACAGCATCCAGGACCCGGCCGGAGGGACCCGCGAGCGCCCAGGACCCCCTGAGCTGGAGGGACCCCGAGCACAGCGCCCAGGATCCTCCGGGCCGGAGAGGACCCCGAGCGCAGCGCCCAGGACCCCCCGAGCCGGTGGGACCCCCTGAGCGCAGCACCCAGGACCCCCCGAGCGCAGCACCCAGGACCCCCCGAGCGCAGCACCCAGGACCCCCCGAGCGCGGTACCCAGGACCCCCCGAGCGCAGCACCCAGGACCCCCCGAGCACAGCACCCAGGACCCCCCGAGTGCAGCACCCAGGACCCCCCGAGCCCGCCGGGGAAGCGGCAATGAGCGGGCGGAGCTGAGGCGGGCGGGCGGCCCCCTCACCTCACCATGTCGTTCGCCATGCTGCGCTCGGCGCCCAGCCGCTACCTGTACCCCGAGATCAGCATGCTGTCCGAGGACGAGGAGAACGGCAGCGAGAGCTCGGGCTCCGACGAGAAGCCCTTCCACCTGGACGCCGAGGGCTACGCGCTGAAGGCGGGCAAGCGGCGCGGCGGGGCGAAGAAGCCGGCGCGGCTGTCGCGGGAGCCGCGGCAGCGACACACGGCGAACGCGCGGGAGCGAGACCGCACCAACAGCGTCAACACCGCCTTCACCGCGCTGCGCACCCTCATCCCCACCGAGCCCGCCGACAGGAAGCTCTCCAAGATCGAGACCCTGCGCCTCGCCTCCAGCTACATCTCCCACCTGGGCAACGTGCTGCTGGTGGGCGAGGCGTGCGGCGACGGGCAGCCCTGCCACAACACCCCCAACTTCTACCCGCACGGCGGCGGCGGCGGCGGGAGCCCCCCGGCCAGGGACCCCGACAGCTCCCAGCCCAAACAGATCTGCACTTTCTGCCTCAGCAACCAGAGGAAGCTGGTGAGTTGGGGGGGAAGGGGGGAGTGGGGAGGGTGCGGGAGGTGTTCCCCCAGGGATGGGGGTGTGGGGGGGTCCTGGCAGTGCTGCCCAGACGGGTCCAGTTTAAACGGCATTGTCACAGCGGTGTGAGCCGATGGGGAGCGGGGGGACCGGGAGAGAAAAGCAGCTCTGGTTGGAGCTGGAGGGACACCAAAGTCTGTCAGCCAGTCCAAAATCCTCTCAGGGGACTCCCCCAGGCATGGGGGTCTGGCAGTGCAGGGACACCAAGACAGCTCCTCTTATTTAATAGCGTGACACCGGTGTGAGCCCAGGGGGAGCGGGATGGACGGGACAGACGGGATAACTGGGACAGACGGGATGGCTGGGATAGAAAAGCAGCTCCTGCTGGAGCTGGAGAGACACCAGAGTCTGCCAGAGAGTCCAAAATCCGTTCCAGGGACATCCAGGTGTCCCCAGATCCCAGGCAGTCCAAGAGTGCTGGGGAGCCGAGGCAGCTCCAGTTTAAACAGCACCACCCTGGTGTGAGTTGAGGAGGAACTGGGATCGCTGGGACAGAAAAGCAGCTCTGGTTGGAGCTGGAGACACACCAGAGTCTGTCAGCCAGTCCAAAATCCTCTCAGGGAACCCCCAGGCTCGGGGATCTGGCAGTGCTGGGGTGCCAAGACAGCTCTGCTTTGAATACCATCACAGTGGTGGGGGCGAGGGGGAGTGGGACGGCTGGGAGAGAAAAGCAGCTCCAGCGGGAGCTGGAGGGACACCAGAGCCTGCTGGCCAGTCCAAAATCCTCTCGGGGGGACCCCCCAGGTGTCCCCAGGAGGGGGGGGGTCTGTGAGTGCCGGGGCACAGAGACAGTTCCACTTCAAACAGCACCACTGGTGTGAGCAAGGGGGGAGCTGGGATGGCTGGGACAGACGGGAGGGATGACTGGGATAGAAAAGCAGCTCCGGCTGGAGCTGGAGAGACACCAGAGCCCGTCGGCGAGTCCAAAACCCGCTGTGGAAAATCCGGTGCCTCCCCTGAGCACGTCCAGAGCTGCTGCCCGAGGCTGCTTCCAAACCCCAGAAAGAGGCGAAGGGACGGGAGAAGGGAAGGGAGAGAGGGGGGAGAGGGATTGAGGAGCTGGAAACCAGGGGCAGGGGGGAAGTGAGAGGGTGGGAAGAGCCCCCCCGGGTCTCCCCTCTGGCAGGACCAGGCAGCAAACGGAGACGGGAGAGGGATTTGGGAGCTGGGCTGGTCACAGCTGGGGCTCCCAGTATCCCCACGCTGGGGCTCCCAGTATCCCCCGCTGGGGCTCCCAGGATCCCCACCATGGGGCTCCCAGTATCCCCCCGTTGGGGCTCCCAGTATCCCCCCGTTGGGGCTCCCAGTATCCCCCCGTTGAGGCTCCCAGTATCCCCACGTTGGGGTTCCCAGTATCCCCACTGGGGCTCCCAGTATCCCCACGCTGGGGCTCCCAGTATCCCCACGCTGAGGCTCCCAGTATCCCCACGTTGGGGTTCCCAGTATCCCCACGCTGGGGCTCCCAGTATCCCCCCGCTGGGGCTCCCAGTATCCCCACGCTGGGGCTCCCAGTATCCCCACGCTGGGGCTCCCAGTATCCCCACACTGAGGCTCCCAGTATCCCCACGCTGCGGCTCCCAGTATCCCCGCTAGGGTTCCCAGTATCCCCATGCTGAGGCTCCCAGTATCCCCACGCTAGGGCTCCCAGTATCCCCGTGCTGGGGCTCCCAGTATCTCCACTCTGAGGCTCCCAGTATCCCCACGCTGGGGCTCCCAGTATCCCCACCCTGGGGCTCCCAGTATCCCCACCCTGGGGCTCCCAGTATCCCCACACTGGGGCTCCCAGTATCCCCACTCTGGGGCTCCCAGTATCCCCCCGCTGGGGCTCCCAGTATCCCCCCGCTGGGGCTCCCAGTATCCCCACGCTGGGGCTCCCAGTATCCCCGTGCTGGGGCTCCCAGTATCCCCCCGTTGGGGCTCCCAGTATCCCCCCGCTGGGGCTCCCAGTATCCCCACACTGGGGCTCCCAGTATCCCCACGCTGGGGCTCCCAGTCCCCCCTGGCACCAGCAGCATCCCAAGGGCTCTGCTGGGCAGGTGGAGTAGGACACACTGGGAAAATCCAGCAGGATTTTCCTCCTCTTGCATCCAAACCCTAAAATCCAAAAGGCAGCGAGCAGGGACCTCAGACCCCCCTTGGGGGTCCCCTGGGAGGAGGGGGCTGCCCAGACCCACAGGTGAGAGCAGGAGAGCAGAAGTTGGGGGTTGGGGTGGCAACCAGAGTGATCCCTGCCTGTTCCATTCCTGCAGGCTGATCCTGAGTGATCCCTGCCTGTTCCATCCCTGAAGGCTGATCCCAAGTGATCCCTGCCTGTTCCATCCTCCCAGGCTGATCCCAAGTGATTCCTGCCTGCTCCATTCCCTCAGGCTGATCCTGAGTGATCCCTGCCTGTTCCATTCCTGCAGGCTGATCCTGAGTGATCCCTGCCTGTTCCATCCCTGAAGGCTGATCCTGAGTGATCCCTGCCTGTTCCATTCCCTCAGGCTGATCCCAAATGATTCCTGCCTGCTCCATTCCCTCAGGCTGATCCCAGTGATCCCTGCAGGCTGATCCCAGAGTGATGCCTGCCCATTCCATCCCCCCAGGCTGATCCTGAGTGATCCCTGCCCGCTCCATTCCCTCAGGCTGATCCCGGGTGATCCCTGCAGGCTGATCCCAAGTGATCCCTGCCTGTTCCATTCCTGCAGGCTGATCCCAAATGATTCCTGCCTGCTCCATTCCCTCAGGCTGATCCCAGAGTGATCCCTGCCCATTCCATCCCCTCCAGGCTGATCCCAAATGATTCCTGCCTGCTCCATCCCCCCAGGCTGATCCCAGTGATCCCTGCCTGCTCCATTCCCTCAGGCTGATCCTGAATAATCCCTGCCCATTCCATCCCCCAGGCTGATCCCAAATGATCCCTGCCCATTCCATTCCTGCAGGCTGATCCCAGTGATCCCTGCCCATTCCATCCCCCCAGGCTGATCCCAGTGACCCCTGCCCATTCCATCCCCCCAGGCTGATCCCAGAGTGATCCCTGCCTGCTCCATCCCCTCAGGCTGATCCCGAGTGATCCCTGCAGGCTGATCCCAAATGATTCCTGCCTGCTCCATCCCCCCAGGCTGATCCCAGTGATCCCTGCAGGCTGATCCCAGTGATCCCTGCCCATTCCATCCCCCCAGGCTGATCCCAGTGATCCCTGCAGGCTGATCCCAGTGATCCCTGTCCATTCCATCCCCCCAGGCTGATCCCAGTGACCCCTGCAGGCTGATCCCAGTGATCCCTGCCCGCTCCATCCCCCCAGGCTGATCCCAGAGTGATCCCTGCCTGCTCCACTCCCCTCAGGCTCCAGCTGATCCCAGTTAACCCCGGGGAGGAGGGAAAGTCTTTGGGAAGGATTTGAGGCTCGTTAGGCAGGAGTGGTGACGGTAAAACCGTCGCTCCTGAGCGGGGTCTGACGGCCCCAGGGACCCCCGAGCAGGAAAAGCCCAGCCTTGTAAATCCCCCTGCACGTCCTTTCCAGGTCCCTGGAGAGGGACACGGAGCCGGGGCAGGAGTTGGGAGGGTTTGTGTTGACAAAAAGGGGGATCTGGGGGTTTATTCCACTCGGGAAGCAGGGACCAAGCACCTGCCCTGCCCTTCCTGAGCACCAAACTCTTCCAGGGGGTGAGGGATCATGGAATGGTTCGGGCTGGAAGGGATTTTAAGGACCATCTCGTTCCACCCCTTGCATTGGCAGGGACACCTTTGCTATCCCAGGTGGCTCCATGCCCTGTCCAACCTGGCCTTGGACACCCCCAGGGATCCAGGGGCATCCTCTGGGAAACCCATCCCAGGGTGTCACCACCCTCACAGGGAGGGATTTCTTCCCAGTATCCCACCTCGCCCTGCCCTCTGGCAGTGGGAATCCAGGGAAGGAGGTGGGAGAAGTGCCCCCTCCAAGCAGAACATCCCAGCTCAAAGCCACAGATTCCAACAAATCCCCTCCAGTGCCTTTGCACCCATTCCCAAAACCCCCATCACTGCTCTTGTATCGATTCCTGTAACCCCTCACCACCAATTTCCCCTCAATTCCATAACTTCCCATCACCTCTTGTGCCCCGTTCCCAGCACAGGAGCAAATCCCGGGACGGGCACGGCCCTGCCCAGGAGGGTGGAAGGGATAACCCGGCCAGAAATCCCATCCCAAGTCCCTTCCTGCAGGACCAAACCTCCCTGGGAATGAGGGGTGGGACAGGCGGTGCCTCGGGAGGTTTCCCAGCCCGATCCGCACTCCTCGGGGTTTGTTGTGTGTTAAGGGAATAAAACCCCTCTGATCAGGAGGGACAGGCAGAGGGAGAAGGAAAGGGAGAGGAGGCAGAAGCCGGGCTGTGATGGAAGATGAACGGTCTGGAACAGCCAGGGGGGGGTTCCAGCCCATCCATCCCCACCCCAAAGCTCCACTTCTCCCCCACATCCTCCTGCCCACGTGCAGGGATGTGAGCAGGGAGGTGTCCCTGCCCAGGGCAGGGGGTGGGACTGGATGGGCTTTAAGGTCCCTTCCAACCCAAACCATCCTGGGATTCCACACCGTGTCCATCTTACCCCTTGTCTGTCCATCCCACCCTGTCTGTCCATCCCAACCCCTGTCCATCCATCCCAACCCCTGTCTGTCCATCCCAACCCCTGTCTGTCCATCCCACCCCTGTCTGTCCATCCCAACCCCTCTGTCCATCCCAACCCCTGTCTGTCCATCCCAACCCTGTCTGTCCATCCCAGTCATCCATCCCACTCCTGTCCATCCATCCCAACCCCTGTCTGTCCATCCCACCCCTGTCTGTCCATCCCACCCCTGTCTGTCCATCCCACCCCTGTCCATCCATCCCACCCCCGTCTGTCCATCCATCCCAACCTCTCTGTCCATCCCACCCCCATGTGTCCGTGTCAGACCCTCGGTGTCCATCCCAATCACCACGCCAGGG